CTATTTGCTTCAAACTAAAGAACAAACAAGAAAGTGAAGGTACAATTTATCAAACATTTTAACTTTTAATTTCTTATCAATATTTTTAAAGTTATCGCTCCGATTCACTTGAGTTACAATTGATCTTGTTACAACAATGTTTTGAATTTGTTATTCACATTTGGCTTACAACCTCTTTATGATATTAAAAATATTATAACTTTAAAACATTAATTTAGAATTTTATAATATATTTGGTTGGTGTGTGTATGATATCTTAAATTTCTTGCCAGGATTTGTTTGTCTAGTAAAACTTATGACTGGATGTGCATTAAAAAACTTATAACTTAATCAATATTCCCCCCGTTTTCTCTCTCTACACACACACACACACACACAAATATATATTTGGCCTTAAAAACATTAAAAAAGAATTTAAATGCCCCGTTATTTTCCTTAAAAACAAACAAAAAGCACTGGAGGGAGGACATGAATTCGCGCTGCATTAATTAGTTTCCCTAGCGCAATTAGTTTCGACCAAGTGTTTGGTGGCATGGATCTATAAAAAATAAATATTGCGGCCAAAATCAATCACTCCCTCCTCCCTACATTTTAAATTATAAAATATTTTTTTAAAAAAATTTAACGTTTTAAAATATAAGACACTTTAATAAAAATTAAATTTTAATAATAATACTTTTTTAATATTACCCTTTTTATATATATTCTCTCTCTTCAATATTTTTTTATTAATGGACTACTAAATGAAGGATATTTTTTAAATTTTAATTTTTGTCTTAAAAAAGTAAGATTGCAAAGTGTACTTAATAAACTTTATTGATATGTGATATTCTGTCTAAAAATATTTTATAATTTGAGATAGAGGGAGTATATTTTTAATAAATGAACTATTATACTCTTATTACATTAGAAAGGAAAACAGATAAGTACTCATTAATTTACTTAAAAAAAAAGAGATGTAATTTTTATTTACAATAATTAAAAAAATTAGAATATTGCTATGCTTAAAAATAAGAATTAGGGCAGACTCGACCTTTATGAACTCGGCCCTTAAGGGTTTAGGCCCAAAAGCTCGATTACTAAAAATTTGACCTAATTTAAGATTCGACCCCTATTTAAAGGGTTTAGGGCCAGGCCCTTGAATCCTCTTTCCTAAGAAAAAAATTTAACATTTTAATTTAAACAAAATATATTAAAATTCAATGTAAAACAAATTAAAATCTTACATAAAATTCGATAAAGATTTAAAAGTCTAAATTTAAGATGAAGATTAAAATCTTTATTAATGTAAATCCAAATCCTCATCATCATCATCATCATCATCTAAAAATAAAATATTAAATTTCTCAAACGTAAGTCCACTTGTTGAAAATGGAGGTAGAGATTCAGTATCAATTATCTCTACAACTTCTTCTTTATCACCTATAATAAATATTAACCAAATCGTGTTATTATTAATCAAATTTATGTATGTATGTATGTATGTTTGTATGTTAGAAGACAAAATATAAAAATTATCATAAAATGGCACGAAATCTTTTACCCAATTGCAGAAACAAATTAATACTTGCATTATTTAGAAGGATGTGAGAACAATACTTTGTTAAAACATGACAGCATATGCTAAAAGTTGATTTGCTAACCATTATGGTAATTGAATACTTGGAATATGAAATGCAATCCTTGAAAGATTGAAAAATTGTTGGTAATAATTATTCTTCCACCAATGTAATGTATCTAATTTTGGAAACTGGAGATACCATCAGGGGAAGCTTCTTCTAAATAATAATTTAATTTAGATTTTCCAATGATGAGAAACATCCCTGTTCTTGAAATTAAAAAAATCCTACTTTTAAATAAAAAATCTAAAAGTATTAAACAAGAAATTATAAACCAACAATAATGAGATTAAGTTCATTACACAAATAAAAACTTATACTATAAAATTGAGTCTAAGACATGACCGGCTCCTTCTTCTTCTCTACCATCCTTCCACTTATACTTGGTTAACTTTGTGTTGGAGTTAAATTTGATGTAAAATTAATGAAAGATTCACTTATGTCTTTGTATTGATCAAAGATATAATACAACTTGTGCTTGATATTATCAACTTGCATGTAATAATTCAAAGGATCAATCATTGAGTAAGAATACTTAATTATTTTAAGCTTATCAAGGCTTGAAGGTTCACCTAGGTCTGAGTTTTTTTTCACAGGGTTCATCAAGGCTAAAATCTTAAACCCAATACTCTAAAAAAGTTAATTTTTAAATCCTGAATTTCTATTTAAACAAGATCTTTAAACCTAACCCTTATTACTCACTCTAGTTGTGCTTTTAAATGAATAACAAATTTTTATTAATTTACATAATTCACTTAAAAATATCTTTATACATAAGGACGAGGGAGTATATATGAAATCAACTTCATTAAAAAGCGCGTACGTACATCACGTCGGCTGACCAATTTATTAAAGTTTCAATTATTCTACACCGCTAAATGAATCTAATATTGTACATATTAAATACTTTTATGGTGGATGGAGACGGAAGAGGAGCACACTTTTCTACATTTTTTTATATTTCATGCAACTTCTGATCTTGAATATGTAATCCATTAGTCAAAAATTTTTATTAAAGGAATCAAGATAATAAAATATATATGATAATTAAAAAAAATTATATGTATATATATCATTAATATAATATAAGTATTTCAACGTATGTATTTGTATTTAATTTTATACATATATATAACAAAAAATATATATATTTTAAGTTTTGCTCCTTAATTTTTTATGAGATAAAACTTATTAGTTATTATGTCTACGATAAATATTTTGATAATTTCCATCTCAATATAAATTATTATTAAATTAATAAAATTTTTATCATCCTTATGAGCATTAAATGATTTAAATATATCATTGAAAATTAAATTTTTTTAATGTAATAAACTCTATTAGTGGCTTATTAAATTTATTATTTAATTCTTTCAATTGATAATCATAGTAAATAAATATATTAATACATTAATAATGCTCAACTATTATAAAATTTTTATGTTAATGAGATCAAATTACATCAGAGTAAACACCATTTATATCATAAATTTTAATAGATTGATTATTTTAAAAAATATTTTTTTTGAAGAACATATACACCAAATCTCTTAACTTTTGGATAAATAATTTCATGATAAATATCAAGCATAGAGCATTCAATATATCTTGGTATATTTGTTGCAATGCTTAACAAAGTTTGTTAATAATAATTTTTATAATTTCTTTCATCAAATATAAAATGAAAGCAAACTAAAATTACACCAATATTTTAAGAGCATGTATGACATTATCTTGTTGAAAATAAATAGATGTTATGACAATTATATTTTCAAGTTACTGAAATAGTTGTTTTATACATGCATATAAGACTATATATAAAATTAAAATGAGAATTTTATCTAGTGTTTTATAGCTTCTATAATGTGCCAACTTATGGGAGCAAACAATATATAATTCTCACATTTTACTGAAAAAATTTAAAGAGTTAGGAGGCTGTGGCTCCTATCGGTCCCCCTTCTCTTCACCTCTGCATCTATCTATTTCTACATATAAAAGAAAAAAATTTATATTACATGATTTAAAAAATAATTAATTATAATAATTATACTTGAAAAAAAAAATTAGGTTAGAATATCCTGCGTTAATCAACATAAACTAACATGCATTAATTGTTTCTCATTGTTCTAAAATTATGGGAAGTAATTCAAAAAATATGTAATAAACGTTTATTAAGATATGTGATTTTACTTATAAAAAAGAAAAAAATATAACTTTGAATCCCTACGCTTTGCTCGTATTTTGCTATGGATCCATATACTTTTATTTTTTGATATTATATATCCTTATATTTTATTCATGGAAGGATATAGAATATCAAAAAATAAAAATATAGAGATTTAAAATATTAAAAAAAAATAAAGACTTATAGTAAAATGTGAGTAAAATACAGAGATACAAAGTTATGTTTTGCTTTAAAAAAAAAACAAATCAAAAGTGATAGTTTCTTTAACAAATAAAAAATGAAGGGAGTAAGTTATAAATCTTATAAATATAAAGAAAAGTTAAAAGTGTTTAAAAGAGAGTTTAACTTCTTAAATTTGTTATAAATTTCATTTATTTTTTAAATTTGTCCTTTATTAAATGGTTTAACTTTCAACAAAAATTTAATTATCCTTAGTTCCTTCTCTGATCTCTGTACGAAATTATCCAAATTTTTTCGATATGACTTAATTATTACTTACATATATTTTGAACCAACAGAGCTCTCGACAAAATAACTTCAATTAAATATCGGAGGGAGTGTATACACCAAACCCTTTTATCGATTATTGTATACTTTTTTAATGTTAGTAGACTTGGATTGACTTTCCCATAATTGTTTGCGTAGAATCTCAAACTTACAAATTCATTCAAACTTTACTGTTCATACATTCTGTGCGAACATTCACAATCAATTAATAGAAAGGGGCATCCTCCGTAACCCGCGGGGCCAAATTTGCCATAGGTATTTGGTCCCCCGTTTATCCTTTTCATTTATTGTGGTTTGATTCCGTTAAAGAATATGCGAAGACCTTGATGTTTATTTTACATTTAAGTAAATGAGTTTTCACGTAATTAATAGTATAAACTTAATTTAGTGAGCTTATTTCAATATTCTGAAATGTTTTATTATTTAAAATCTAAATAATTGTGCTCATATTTTTATTTAATTTTCAATAAAACACTAATCATTTCCATATAAATTTTGACTTGATAAAATGAATTTAACTGCTGTCAAGTACGACAAATGAAATGAATTAGGGAAATTTAACAAGCAAGCATCTGTAAATTGTACGTAATAAGTAACGTGAATGGCAATTGCTACGACGAGATCGTAAGTGAGATTTTATGCTCCAAATCATAGCTACTAAAATATATAGTGATAAATAGAAGTGGAAAGGTGGCCAAAGTCAGACAGCTTTATTATAGATGACCAATAATTGGGAGACTATAATTTGTCTGTAGCCATAACAGCCATGCACGATACACACCAGAAAGGCAAAGGTAAGTCGTAAAAGATAAGATACAAAAGAACAACGGGTCATAAACTAAGAGAAAACATGCTTTTATTTTTTGAGCACCAAAATACGGTAAAAATCACGGGATACTTAGTTTGTGGTCGTGGATGGAGGATGGTGACCATAAGGTGGTGGTTGATAGCTTGGTGGTTTCTCCATAGGTGGCTTATAAACTGGTGATTTTTCAACTGGGGGCTTATAAGTCGGAGGCTTTTCTACTGGGGGCTTGTAAACAGGTGGCTTGTAGACGGGTGGCTTCTCAACAGGTGGCTTATAGACGGGGGGCTTCTCAACAGGAGGCTTGTAAGTAGGTGGTTTGTGAACGGGTGGTTTCTCAACAGGTGGCTTGTAAGTAGGTGGCTTATAGACGGGTGGTTTCTCAACCGGAGGCTTATAAACGGGTGGTTTTTTAACTGGAGGCTTGTAAACCGGTGGTTTTTCAATTGGAGGCTTGTAGATAGGTGGTTTCTCAATGGGTGGCTTATAAATTGGTGGCTTTTCTACAGGAGGCTTATAGATTGGGGCTTTTCAATTGGTGGTGGATTGTACACAGGAGGTTTTTTTGGTGGCTTATAGGTAGGAGGTTGATGGTAATTTGCGAAGGTGGAGGTGGTGAGAAACACCACCCCGATGAGGAACACTAACAAGTGTTTAGAGGACATTGTTGAACAGGGCCTGCGTTGATGGTGCAAATGACAGAGCATGAACTCCAATTTAAAGAAGAACGAGGGAGGGGAGTCGGTGGAGAGATGCTGTGGGTCCAAGTAATTTTAATATCAACATAAAATTAATAAACATAAAATAATAATAAATAAAGTCGGAGCTGGTGGGTGTGAACTCCATGAATTTCTCCATGCATGTATGTGGACAATTGAAAATTCGATGATTATCCTCTTTGCAGAGTTAATATTATTAACATGGACTGCAGACGGAGATATATGGAATTTTCTTTTTCACATCTAACTTACTTTTATTAGCGATGAAGATATTTTGAATGAATTGTACTTAAATTCAAATGTGAATGCATGTGTAGCTCTAATTGCAGACTATGTTTGGCGCATTTTTTTTTTAAAATAAACTAGTTGATTATATAAGAATATTGTGTGTGTGTGTGTGTGTGTGTGTGTGGGTGGGGGGATAGAAATTATATTTTGGTTTTTGGCTGATCGCACGGTTGAGGAAATATAATGATAAGTGCTTACTAGCTGGGGTTTGTTCAGTAAAAATGAATTTGATTTTTTTTTTTTTTTGGGAATCAAAAGCAACTTGTCCACTAACTATAATAAATAAAAATGATATAAAATATTGCAAATAATAATAGTTAGAACAACTGGCATCATGGACCCTCTCCGTCCGATCCGACAGTCTCATGCGCCCCTTGATTTCAACTTATTTAGATCTTCAACAAAAAAAAAAAAAAAAAAAGGAAATTCGCGGAGCAAGTGGCTAGTGATCATTTTCGGTCGAGGGTGGTTGAGATTTCAAAAATTATTTATTGAATTATTGAACAGACACGGACGACGATCCCTTCAGTAATCACACACGCTTCCATTCCACGTGCCGACCGTAGGTGTGAAGAAGAACGACGTGGTCAAAAAGCAACCGGTCTATATCCCTATCAGATCAGTCATATATTGAATAAACCAAAAAAGATAACAAAAATAAGATTTTAGAGAGAATGACAAGTAATGAAGTTATAAAAATATTAATATTAAATTAAAAATGTTAATATTGAAACATAATAAAAAATATTAAAATTTAAAAATGTGAATGTTAAAAAAAATAAGTTAATATTAATATCCTTACAAAGTTTTTATTTGTCATTCTCCCAAGATTTTAAAAGACTCTCACTCTTAAAAAATTGAATTAGTAACAATTGAGCATCAATAAATTTTCTTATTAAAAAATAAAATATCATTCAAGACACAGTTGCAAATTTTAAAATTTTAATTATAGATAAAACATTTAAATTTTAAATATAATTATTATATCGTGACTGAAATTTTTTATATTTGCAATCAAAATTTTGAACTCATTTTTTTAAAATTATTAAAAATTTGAATGTTATTAATTCAAGATTTTAAAGGAAAACTTTCACTCAATGTTCTGAAAATGAACTAATTTTCTGTTAGGGCTAATGAAGTTTGAAAATGCATGGCAGACATAAGGTCCTTCAATGTAACAAATTTTATATTTTAATTACCAATATACCCTTGCTTCTCTGTTTTTCGGCCATTGTTGCTAATGTTGGAGTTTCAGTGGTCCAGCCACCAGTGATAGCAGCCTGCAAGAGCATTTTGATAACTGATATCTAAAAATTTATTTTAGTAAAGGATCTTTGGGCTTGCAATGTAGTTTTTAGAATATATTGGACTCTCTCAGCAGTAAATAAGTTCATTTTGAGGGTGCGAGTGAAATTCTCCTTATTTTAAACCTAACAGTTGTTTTCTCCGGGGTTGCATCCGTACGTGATATGGTGGGGGCAAGGTAGCGATTGACATATCGACACATCCTTGACTATTTGACCATGGAATAATTGTAAAAATTTAATTACGTTCACACTGACATGGCAATGCAGGCTAAGTCCAGTTGGTGTTATCATACGCACACACAGACACACACACACAGAGACAGACGCAGAGGCAAAGAGAGAGAGAGAGACAGAGGCGCATTCGAAGTCACATCAGTTGGGTCACTGAGTTGTGCTCGAGGTTGAAGAGTGAGGAGGCGGAGAGAGTGTCGGTGACTTTTCATTTTTTTATTTTACGACTCGTTTTCTCATCATTAAATCTTCATTTATTGAGTTGTGATGAGCCTATTCTTTAATCTACTTCAGGATTGCAATACAGAGTATTATTATTATTATTATTAACTATTTAAAAAGTTAAGTAAATTTTCATATCTTCAAAAAATTATATATTTTTTAATTATATTTTAATTAAATACTCCCCTCGTTTAAAAATATAGAACATTTTTTAGGAGTTGAATGTTAAAAAATATAAAATATTTTTAGTCTTTTAAGGTGTAATCATTATCTTTTTTAAAAATGTCCCTATTAATAATGACTTTATATATATTGTAGGGTGTTTAATAGGGATAAATATAAAAAGATAGAGTTAGTTAAAAAATAGGTAACTATTTTATTGGGGTGAAATTCGATTAAAAATGTCTTATATTTTTAAATGGAGGGAATATGTTGTATGAGTATCATAATAATAATAATAATTGAAGTCCCAAATTCCAACACTACATATAACAAAAATGGTATTTTTGACTAATTAAAAGATAAAATGTATGCAAATGATTCTATTTGTGTTTTTTAAAAAAACATAATTAAAAAATAAAAAATTAAATTATGTTCTTAAATACTCCCTCTAGACGATAGTGTATGACATTTTTTTTTAAAAAATCTTACTTGAATTAAAATATAGGATATTAGATAGGTTTTATATATTTTTGGCCAAAAAAAAGGTAGCTTTTATATATTACTTCCTAATTATACTCTTACATTATTATATTTTAATTAATTAATTAATAAGAGTGTTTTGAATAGCTAAATGTCGTATTTATTTCATTTAGTTATTTTTGTCAATATTATTCCACTCAATGGTATCATTGAAAAGACGTGACAATTTTACAAAGATGAATGTTTTAATTTATCTTTTAAAATTGTAAATTAATTAATAATAACTTCTATTACAATACAGATGGAGTATTCATTTTAGTCACCCAATTATTTAAAAATAAATCAAATTTTTTTTTGATCCAAAACAAATGATATGTGGAGGTTGGAGATTGTTAATTTCTACAACAAAAACAAGATAGTAATCAAGACTTAGATCAATTATAACAATGGCTTTCAAAGAATGGCTTGAGAAGGGATAATTTTTTAGATGGGGTTATTAGGTTTTCTCTCTCTTAGGTTCGATGCTTAAGGGATTTCTCATGAGTTGGGACATGATTAGCCTTCACAAGCAACCTACATATCGGTTGGCAGATACATTACAACCAAAAAATGGAAAGGAAAAAAAGAAAAAAGAAAAACCATGCTATAAAACAATGAACCACTAGACCAAGGGGGACTCCATCATGGACGATCATATGGATAATGAAGAGGAAGAAATCCTTGAAACACCAGAAGTAGTTGCAGAAACTTAAGAACTAGAGGGTGAAAACAAACTAATAAAGAACTAATGGAGATAGATAGCGACAAAGACCTTCCAAAAAGGAATCATACCGTGACTCTTTGCTTAGTTTCAATGGCATTGCAAATGATGCTTTAATGAAGAAGATGATATCTTTAAGGATGTTAATCATATTTTATGGAAACTGCATGAGCTAATAGAAGAGATAAAAGAATTGATGAAGCTCTACCTAGTGATTCCAATGACAAACAATGATTTTCAAGAATAGGCCCTGGAAGTTTGCTTTAATAGTTATTATACTTAAGAAGAAGATGACCCTCTCATCTATCTAAAATCAACTTCATAGAATTTTGGGGATTCTTGAGTTTGAGATCATTGACTTACCAAATAATTACATCAGTAATTGCTTTATTGATGGTGAAAAATGGAAAGCCCAATATAGGAAAGTGGTTTGTGAAGATCCATAGATGATTCAACAAAGTTGTGTTATTGTCCAAAGATGGGACCCATTTTTTGATTCCTATAATAACACTATGGGGAAGACTGGTATATAGATCTGATGGTGGGAAAGACTACTTTATGGTCATACTTCATCGAATTTAATGGTGGAGAAGAAGCAAGAAGATGATGACAACATCCTCAATATGTGGATGCTACCACCAAAACCATTTAATCCTCGCTTCTCAAGGACGAAAGAAGGCAAAAGGGAGAGGCCATATTAGAGGAAAGGAAAAGAAAGAGAGCTCAAACAAAAAAGTAAGGAAATCTCACAGTCCCACTTCAATGCATTAGCAGATATGGAGGAGGTCGCTCAAGAACATGAAAATATGAAGATTGGCATGAAAAAGGAAATAAGAGATATGTTAACAAATGACACCCTATCACATTTAGACACTTAGTGGATTAGAGGTGTAGAAAGGCAAAAGGAGCCTACAGATAAAGGTTAGTTCACCAAATCAAAAGAGGAACTTTTTACCTCAGATTTGCAAGCATGCATGAGAAAGAGAATGTTATCATTAATATGAGCAAAATGGGGAAAGAAAAAGATTTAAATGGCAACAAGAGCCTAAGAAATTTTAGACCTAGGCTAATAGTTACACACAAGACACCTAAGACTAACTAATGAATCTATTTGGCAATCAATCACAATAATTCCTATGTGGGTTGAAATTAAGACAAGCCCAAACTAGAGGTAAAGTCTATAGCTGTGAGAATCTTGAAAGTTGGGCTTAATGACTTGTGCTAAAATCCTCCAGGCCCATTGAGGATCCAAGATGGGGGAAACTAATTGAAATTTGACCCTCCAAAACCTTTGGATCAAATATGTCCTAGCAAACATGCGAAGACTTTAATGGGGAGAAATATAAAAGAAAAAATCTGCTTAATGTAAAAGAGGACTTTGGGTTAAAAAAGGTCACATGAGCGATAAGTGTGTTTCTTTCTTCCTTTACTTTGGTTTTTATGATTTTAGCTTCTTGGAATTGCTAGCGTGTCGGAAGAAAGGCATCCCAAACCTGATTAAGGATATTGCTTGTAAATGTAAGATTGATATTTTATGTTTGCTTGAGACTAAAATAAATGGCCATAAAGCTAATTGTGTTGTTTGTAAATTCAGTTTCTCTTATTAGATAAGAGTTGAAGCAACGGGTTTTGTAGGTAGGATTCTTGTGCCTTGGAATGGCCCTAAGTTTAATGTCAATTATCTTTGGTTGAGCACCTAAATTCTCCATTATTTTGTTACCAAATTAGCCTTTCAAGAAAATTTCCTTGGTTCTTTTATTTAATGTGAACTACATGAACCTAGCCAGCTTAGCCTTTAGATCAATGGAAAGCTCTTACCTCTACCATTGATGACCCTTGGATCTTTTTAAGAGACTTTAATGCTTTTTATTCTCCTTTTGATAAATGTGAAGGCTGTGCTGCAAATGTTTTAAGCATGTATCTCTTCAATAATTGACTTGATGTTATAGGTCTTCTTGATATTCTAGTGGTGGGAGATCACCTACCTGGGAAAAAGAGGGTATGAAGGAGAAACTTGACTAGATCTTTAGAAATACCTAATGGTCTCTTAACTTCCCTCACTTTAAAACCTCTAACCTACGCAAATTTAAGTTGAATCATTGCATTCTGGTTTTTCTCTAATATTCAAGTAGTTTTAGGGGTTCCCATAAATGTAGATTCACTTATAACTCTGCTTAGGTCATTGAGTTAGATTTTAAAGAGGTAGTTAAACAAAGTTGGGAAGGTAGAGACTATAAATAAGGAAGGAGCTACCTAGTTCCTAACCATTACAACTAAGTAGATTGATCAAGCCATTAGGAGTATCCCACAAAGGAAGAGAGAAATCATCAAACGTCTTGACAGAATTGATAAGGCTCGATCTAGGAATGATAAAAATAGCTTGAGGAAACTAGCAGGTAAGCTATGGAAAGATTACCACAAAAATCTAGCTCAAGAGGAGCTCATCTGGTTTCAAAAATCTAGATATAAGTGGTTGAAGTGGGGAGATAAAAATACTAGATTCTTTCATGCTTCTACAGTCATTATGAGAATGAAAAAAAGAATCAAAGCTTTAAAGAATGAACAAAGAGATGGGATTTTGGATCAGAATAGCCTTAAAGATATGGCAGGAGACTTCTTTAAGAATCTTTATACCAAAGAGGGAGATGTTGCTGATCTTAGAACCATGCCTAGTTCTTTTCCTCCATTCTATGACTTAAGACATTTTTTATATTCACAAAGATCTTTCAATAAAGGAGGCAATTTTTTCTATGGGCACCTTTAAAGCTCTTGGACCTAATGGCATTATGACCTAACTTTTTAAAGAGAATTGGAATCTAATTAAGGGAAGCTTTGTAGTTTTATTAAATATATCTTTTCAAATCCCTCGCTTGAGGAAAGTACTAACCAGATTGATTTTTACCTGATTTTAAAAGTGGAGCAACCTACTTCTTTAAAGGAGTTTAGACACATTTCCTTCTAAATGAGTTTGAAAATTGTTACCAAGATTATAGCCAATTGCTTGAAGAATTAACTTAATTTTTTTTACTAAGCAAAATCAATGTAGCTTCATAGTAGGCCGACAAAGTAGCAATAGCATTATGATTACTTAAGAGGCCATACTATGCATAACCCAAAGAGATACAAAGGATACAAGAAATTGAATTTGGAGAAAGCTTATAATAGGCATAATGGTCCTTCATTGAAGATACTCTTAGAAGCATGGGGTTAAAAAATAATCCAACTAGGTTCATCATGGCCTGTATCACTACTGCCATTATGAGAGTTACTATAATGGGGATCACTCTATTGAGTTTAAGCCTTCCAGGGGCATCATCAAGGAGACCCCCTCAACCCCTATATTTT